TTGGCTCGATGGAAGAAACTCTAAAGGATTTGGACAAGAAAATAGCAGAGGTATCCAAACCAATAAACAGAACACCAATAACGTACAACATATACGATGAAGATATGGATATAGACTCACTTAAGGACACTCAAAAACCTTCGACATCAACAAGATGTCTTCTTACTTCTTACTTAGAAGCCAAACAAAAGAAAAATCCATCCTCTCCAAACCTCTAAAAGCTAAAGAGCAAAAACCGATATTTTCCAACACAAACACTATAATTATGACTTTAAAAATAATACAATGGAATATAAAGGATATACAAGCAACTACAATCAACTGCTACTACTCATCAAAAAACATTCTTCACATATGATATCACTCCAAGAAACACACATACAAAACTTTCACAGCCTACCTTAACCAATAAACTACAATATATTAACAAACATTACATCGAACCATACCAATCCACAAATCAAATCAATATACTCAAACAAACATCAATGACAACCTATATGCAATAGCAGCAGTAATAAAATCAAAACCAAATTATAAATTAAACTCCATTTACATTTCACCCAACAAACCCTTTTCACGCAATAATCTGAACTTAATTAACACCAACAACGAAACTGTCCTGATAACAGGAGACTTCAATAGTGGGCATCAAAACTGGGGATCGACACACTCGAACTCAAGGGGTAAAACAGTAGTCAAGTTCATCGAACAGTCAAATCTTATCCTTCTAAATGATAAATCACCAACACACTTTACTACACACAACACATTTACCCATATTGACCGCAGCTTTTGCTCTCTCTGCCTCACACCACTCACAACCTTCACATCCCTATAATCATCACCCTTTTTCCAAGCGACAACACGATTAATAAGAAGAAACCAATTTTTAAAATAGCCGAAGCTAACTGGGACAATTTCGCAATCCACACACACAACAATATTAACAAGCGCACACCACACAATACCACAAACACTACCTAGCAGACACTCACGCACAGTTCCTTGGTCGTACAAAAACTTATCGGACTTACGAAAAAAAACAAACATGGAAAGCACTGAAAAGACACACAACCCAAGAAACGATCGTTGCATACAGAAAGGCAAACGCAATATTGAAAAGGGAAATTAAAATAAGGAAAAAGGAATCCACAACCAAATTTACATCAACCATCCAATCAAACACACCAACAACAAAAACATGGAACAACATTCGACGATTTTGCGGTCTAAACCCAATTAAGCAAATATTTTGCATAACAACCAACAATAACGAGACTACCAACGACAAAAACAAAATAGCCAATCTATTCGCACACCACTGGTCACAGCTCTCTAAAGATACAAACTTCAGCCAAGAATTCTCCTTTCATAAATACAAGAGAACAACACTCAATCACACTCCATCCGCATCAGCCATAGAAATTGACAAGCCCATAACCAAAATGGAACTTACCATTGCTCTCCAATCCCTCAAAGGTACAACACCAGGAATCAGCAGGATATCTTCCCCAATGTTTAGGTCAGCTGCCCACTGCTCTCCGAGCTTTCGCTATCCCCCTCTTGCTCTCCCTCGCTCGCTTCTCGCAACGTTCGCGCTCCGGAACGCGAAACCCGGATCCGAACTCCTCGGTCGGCCGCTGCCGATCTCCCGCTCTCGCTTCAGCGGAGTAAAGCGGACGGGAGCGCGGTTTTATGTTTTAAGTTTAGTACCATGTATGCAGCCGAATAGTTGAATTGTGTGATTGAATTCCACCACGACCCTTCCGACTTCTTAATCTTCATATACCTTTTCCGTTCGCGCCGTGGCAGGATCGCCCCCTACAACATTTTGGACCATTCGAGACGGATAAGGATATCCTTCTGCCATTCGACCAGCAGCTCCAGTGATTTTTTCCGCATTTTTTCCCTCTTGCTGCCGCTCTTCAGCAGCGGTTCGAACATTGAATTTCATTCACACTGCTGCAAGATCAATTTTTTCATGTCAACTCCACGTCCCAGTTTTCCCGACACAACGGCAGTCGAGACATTTATATTCCTTCAATTCGTACAAATTTTCTATCTGTCTCCGCTTTGTGTGCGTCCCCATACATCTTGCCGTTTTTTTTTCGTTCCCCGTCGTATACCAACTTGCCAACGGTCAAGGAATATGTGCATCCAGACATACACATACACGCGCGTGACAACTTGTGTACATAGTGCAGTGCAATTCTTTGGAACAGCTGGCCAAGGTTTGAAAGACCCCCTCCACGTGGTGTTCCCTGGGTACCGATTTTAACATAAAAATCGGGAGCTAATTCGAGCGGCAAAACATACAAGAAGGCATATTTATATTAAGTTGTTTAGCTGAGTAACGGGTATCTAATAGTCGAGGCACTCGACTATAGCGATATCTCTTGTTTGTTGTAGTTAAGGGTATCGGATTGTATACCTGTTAACTATACGCACGGTTGCCAGGTTTGGCTCTTTTGAGCTCCTTGGCCCATTTTTATTGAATTTGGCTCTTTTTTATTATATTTTTTATTATATTTTAAACTTGAAAAAAAAGAATTCATTTTTTTATTAATGCATTTTTTTTGCAATTTTAAAAGTGATTAATGTCTGAAACCCAAAAGTGCCAGATCGAAACTAAATTTTTCCGCTGGTATGGTAGCTCTAAACAAGTGTATCGATATGGTAACTTTCATATGTGCTTCTAAATTTGGCGGTGATTGTGGTGTCTCAAAGTGTGCGAAAATAATTTGTGCAAAATGGACAAGTAAGTAAAGAAATCATGTACATTTGTGTATCTCAAATGCAATATAGCTAATGGCTGGAAAAATTTTTTCGGCTGAAGAAAAATGACGGGCGTGCGACTTGTATTCCCTGTGGTATAATTTTACGCAATGACCCACATCCAAAGACATTCGACCCAGGCTTCACATATACGTTGCTTAAAAATAAAGGAAAGCCAACTGAAAATCGACAGATTTACAAAGGAACGTAGTGACAATAATTATAAGCAGGTGCGCGATGCCGAGTACGCACTTTTTTGCTGATGGACTACTTGCCGGACTTGCTGCGTGTCTGTTGACCCGATTCAAAAATTGAGAAGGGCGTAAAGTGTGGTCGGACCAAGGCAACTGACATTTCGAAGGAACTTGCAAAGCAGCGGATAGTAAGTGCATTACAAGAAACAAAATTTTCTTTTATTGTTGATGAAACCACAGACGTTGCCAACAAAAAAGCCCTAGTGTTGGTGGCACGTTACTTTCAGAACATTTCTGGCAGTATTAAGGACCAATTTTTATGAGCCAAAAAAAGATTAAAAATGAGCCAATTTGAATAAAAATGAGCCAAATTTTTATTTATTATTTATTTTGATTTTATTTAACTTTAATCATAAGAGAGTAATAAAAACATAAACAAAAACATAACAAAACATTTTTCTGAAATGAAACAGCTTAACAGCTAAGTCTTACTGGTAATTAAAGTCATTCTGAGACCATACATATTCAGTTTTTTTCTTCTAATAATTTCTTAATTTAAATCTTTGTGCGACCAAACATAGTGCGTTTCTTTATTCCAATTTTTTCTTAATTTGGATTTTATTAGGCTAATTGCAAGAAATTTTCGCTCTGCTGTACCAGAGCTGTGTGGAAGTGATAATAAGTTGTGTACAAACTTAATGAGATCTTTAAACACACTTTCATTTAATCCATTTGTAATCATTGAAATGTTATCCCAAAATAAAATTATATCAGTCTCTTTTTTTAATGTATCGTTTGATAATTTCAGCATTTTCCACTGATTTATTATTTTGTCAAACTCTGATTCGCAGAGGTATTCAAAATTTTTTAGCAGTGGAACAATGTTCCACTCCTCAGCGTAAAGAACTTTGACGGGAGTTATTAAAACTAAATTTTCTATGTTCTTTCTTGAGAAATCAAATCGTCGTGTTATTTCGTCAACAAGTTCCAAATAAAATTGTCTTATTATTACTTTAATGCTGTTAGATTGCTCTTCTAGTAAACCAGAGTCAGAGATGCACTGTTGTGCACTAAACCCTATGAATATTTCTTCAACAGGCAAAAAATATATTTCTAGATCACAAATATTTAATTCTTCTAAATTCATATTTTAGACGTAGTCCTGCGTTACAATGTTGCTTAAAATAAGCTTAATGCTGCTTTGTAACCTTGCATACAAATATGGCAAGCGAGCCGATTCAGACTGAAATTCAACGTTTAAACCATTAATGATTTTTAAAATGTAGCTTAAAAATAATAAGTAAAATTTTAAGCTCTGACTTGGCCATGGATTGAGCTATCTCTTTTGGCTTAATGTTGTTAACTTCCAAAACCTGGGACAAGAAAAAGAGTTCAAGAGCATCCCATTGCTCCAGAATTCGCGAAATAACCTTCTCTAAAGATAACCAACGTGTCATGGCTATTCCTAAAATTTTATGGGGCTTCATACTACAATATTCTTGAAATTCCGATGTTCTTTTTGGACTAAACGAAAAATATGTTCATATTTACGGCACAGCATTTCAATTTCGGACGGTAATTTTTTACAGGCGTATCCTGAGCAAAGGTGTAAAGAATGGCAGGTACATTTCAAAAAAAAAAAGATTGGTGTCTCCACTTAATTTGGTTTTAAGGCTATTAAGGCCTCCAGCCATAACATTAGCACCATCTGTTGCCAGGCCGATTAGATTTTTAAGAGGTATTTGGTTGTCAAAAAAAACGCTTTGATGGCGTTATAAATCGATTGAGCATCACATTTTTCCACCTCAATAAGAGCTAAAAATTGGTCCTTCATACTGCCAGAAATGTTGTGAAAGTAACGTGCCACCAACACTAGGGCTTTTTTGTTGCCAACGTCTGTGGTTTCATCAACAATAAAAGAAAATTTTGTTTCTTGTAATGCACTTACTATCCGCTGCTTTGCTTTTTTGTAAGTTCCTTCGAAATGTCAGTTGCCTTGGTCCGACCATACTTTACGCCCTTGTTATGGAACTGCTTTTTGTCCTGGGACGGCTCCGGCTAGCTCTCGGATCCCCAGGGCGGAGTATCCCCAATATCCCTACAGTATCCACAACATAAACATCGATATACGCGCGTCTCACTTCACAAAAACTATCGCTCATCACTAATAAACAAAACAAACCAAAATGTAAGCAACGCAAATAATTATAATTGACGGGAAAAATATGGTGTTTTGGTGGCTATCGATGACTTAGCCAAGCACGCCCACCCAACCAAGGATGCCCCGGAGGATTCTGCGGAGGCATCACCCATAATCTGCTGGTCGAAGTCACTCCTCGCGACTAGGACAGCTCCATCTCCCCCACAGCGACAACTCACTCGCACATTTCAGTCTTCATGTACATTTTAATTATCACCGTAAGTACTAAAGTTAAATGCTCTCCTAGTAATTAATTCATCTTTTCTTAGCCTTTACGACCAAACTTGGCTACCGTCTACAGAGTTACGCGGTCAAAGCAGAAGATTACCTTCCTTTGGCAAAGGCTACAGGCGCCGCGGAAAATATGTTCCACCAGTCACGTATTGGTGGAACTCACAGTGGAACGAGGCGCAAAAAGGGGCACACACTAGGTATGTGTCGGGTCACCGAATCCTGAGGAGCTCCTAGGGAAAAGAAGGGACAGGCCAAACGATAAGTAGTACGCGCTGTAAACAATGCCGCCGAAAACTAATAATCGCGACCCCTATTTCACAGGCAATAACGAGGACAAATTTAGGTTTTCGGGTCTAAGTCCGGATAAATATACAGGTCAACAGGTAAGTACATAAATTTAGTAATGTGCACATTTAAATTAACATTAATGATTTCAGCCACTTCTGGGCTAGGCGCCGGGCCAACTATGCCCCGACTACAGCGTACTCTGCCGGAGGCCAGCAGCAGTAAGGGCCTGGAACACCACGAGGAACGGTGGCGAAGGCGAGACTGATGGCGGTGCCTCTCGACGCGGCGCGAATTGGCAGCCAGATAACCCCCGACTTATCAGCTCGGAACGGACTCACCGGCGAATGTCGGATGGCGTTGGCTGCGTCCGAGGCAGGCGAGTTATGCTGGTCCGCTTCGTATCGCTGGGTCGAACGAAGGTGCGTATGGATATGGATGCCAATCTCCGAATTAAATCCTCCAATTTGAAATCCCGATTTACTTCCAATTTGATTTTCCAGATTTAATTTCCTCCAATTTGAACGTCCAATTTAATATTTCCAATCTAATTGGTCCAATTAAGTCTTCCAATTTAAACTTCCGATTTAAATAACCCGGGGCCCTTTGTGTTGGGACCCCGGTTGCCCTACGAATAATTATTTATAAATAAAATAAACTATTAAACCTAACACAAATTTTTCTAACACTCACTTTTTTTTTATATTTCGGCACAAACACTAACTACTTTCTGTTCCATCTACTGGGACAATATGGCTGCGACTATATAAAAATTTGACTATCATGCCTATATCTCGCCATATTCCCTTCGCCTCTCTCGAAATTGGGTCATTGGATATATCAAGGCCATCCTAGCCATACCCAGAGCGAACCGGGCTAGTTTAAATAGCTAGATAGCCAAGACATCAGCAGAAGGGGGCGCCACTCCAGTAGGGGTTGCCACCCTCCAACTTTATCGATAGCCCTACCAAAGACGAATACCTCCTTCTTAATTCTTCAAGCCGATTCCAACTCGAAATGCAACACCCTTCGCAACAGACCCGCAGCAAGTCCGGCAAGTAGTCCATCAGCATAAAAGGGAGGTTATGCATTACCAAAAACATAACAAGTGCGTACTCGGCATCGTGCAACTGCTTATAATTATTGTCACTACGTTCCTTTGTAAATGTGTCGATTTTCAGTTGGCTTTCCTTTATTTTTAAAGCCTAGTATCCAGATCGACGAAAACCGTACGCCAGTCATGAAAGAGAGCGAGAGGCAAACAGCTGGCATTCACTTTTCGTCGGGCCTTTTTTTCACGTCGGTCCCCTGATCGACGAAAAAAATACCAGAAAATTCCATAGCGTTGCCAGTCTGCTGAAATGAACTTTGGGTGAACCCTAGCGAAAAGAATAAAGCCTAGTACTCAGATCGACAATCGAGTACGCTAGCGTAAAAACTTTAATTTTTCCAGTGTGACCAAAATTTCGAGAGCTAATAAGAATTATGCGTGCTACGGTCGTACTGTCAGTCAACTGGGTTTGTTAACAAGCAGTTAAAATTCAAATATCGTATTTGCGGGAAAGAGCCTTTTGAAATTTATTATCAACTACCTTGGCAAGACAAGTCTGCCGCTGTACAAAGACATTAAAAAACAATACAATTTAAATTTAACAGTTGTTTTTTTTTTAAATTTACTGATAATTATTTGCTAATTTAAAGTTCATAGCTGCATTGTGTTTTTTCGAAAATTTTTGACCTAAGAAACATTTTGTTTGGTCAAGAGACACCCCAGATAGTATGAATGTTATTTTGTCCTCAAGCCTAGTATCCAGATCGACGAAAACCGTACGCCAGTCATAAGAGAGAGCGAGAGGCAAACAGCTGGAGTTCACTTTTCGTCGGGCCTTTTTTTCACGTCAGTCCCCTGATCGACGAAAAAAATACCAGAAAATTCCATAGCGTTGCCAGTGTGCGGAAATGAACTTTGGGTAAACCCTAGCGAAAAGATTAAAAAATTTAATCTTTTGACGTGCGCTTCTCACTGAACATTATAAGAAATGGAGGGAAAACTCAAAAAACTCGCAAAAGTCGATTGCAGGTGTTCACATGTGAGGACAAAATAACATTAATACTATCTGGGGTGCCTCTTGTCAGAGCAAAATGTTTTTTAGGTCCAGAATGTACAAAAAAAACACAATAAAAGTGCAGTTGTGAACTTTAAATTAGCAAATAATTATCAGTAAATTAAAAAAAAACAACTGTTAAATTTAAATTGTATTGTTTTTTAATATCTTTGTACAGCGGCAGACTAGTCTTGCCAAGGTATTTGATAATATCATTTAAAGGCTCTTTCCCGCAAATGCGATATTTTAATTTTAACTGCTTGTCAACAAACCCAGCTGATTGACAGTACGACCGTAGCACGCTTAAATCTGATGAACTCTCAAAACTTTGGTCACACTGGAAAATTAAAGTTTTTACGCTAGCGTAATCGTTTGTCGATCTGGATACTTGGCTTAAGCAACGTATATGTGAAGCCTGGGTCGAATGTCTTTGGATGTGGGTCATTGCGTAAAATTATACCACAGGGAATACAAGTCGCACGCCCGTCATTGTTCTTCAGTCAAGAAAATTTTTCCAGCCATTCAGTACGCACTTTGCGATTTTCCGAAACAGAAATTCTACGACGAAGAAATGTTAGCTAGTTCATCAGAAAAATAACACTTTTACTCTTACTTTTTGTTTGCGGGATGTGAATCGCTTGAAGTCTCAGTATGCGTTTGCGGCGTGGGCGCTGCTTTATTTAAACTGCTTGAAGTTAAAACAAACCTGCATGTAGGTAAATAAATTAGCTATATTGCATTTGAGATACACAAATGTACATGATTTCTTTACTTACTTGTCCATTTTGCACAAATTATTTTCGCACACTTTGACACACCACAATCACCGCCAAATTTAGAAGCACATATGAAAGATACCATATCGATACACTTGTTTAGAGCTACCATACCAGCGGAACAATTTAGTTTCGATCTGGCACTTTTGGGTTTCAGACATTAATCACTTTTAAAATTGCAAAAAAAATGCATTAATAAGAAAATGAATTCTTTTTTTCAAGTTTAAAATATTTTTTATCGCTATTAGCAAAAAAGAGCCAAATTCAATAAAAATGGGCCAAGGGGCCAACGCGAAAAAAAAGATCCAGATTTGGCTCAAAAGAGCCAAACCTGGCAACCGTGGCCACGATGGGAGTAATACGAAGCTGGGGAGAGTTTTACGACGGAATGGGCGACCCGACAGAATTCATTTGTAGAATGGAAGAGCTGGCAAAGCCCTATGGGATAGAGCTCGACCACGTAGCAGGAGCGATGGTAATTTTGCTCAGAGGCTGTGCCCTGGACTGGTGGCACACCCATATTACCCCAATGCCATCTTGGGAAAACTTCAAAAAAGAATTCCTGGAATACTACAGACCAGCGGACCACGAAGAGAGAGCGATGGAAAACATAACACGCAGGCACCAGTGTACAAACGAGCTAGCAAAGGACTACGCGCGGGAACTCCGGAAGATTATGAGATTTACCACACTCACGGAAGAAAAAAAACTAGAGTGGGTTTACCGGAACAGTCGAGTGGAATTTAAAAAGTATGCTAAACGGGGAGAATGCCGAACCCTAGCAGAATACCTGCAGTTAGCAAAATAATTCGAGGCCCTCCAGCCACATGAACGCACAACAAAACAAACACCGAAAATCACTGGACACAACAGCAGCGACCGGGAAATTTCGAGAGACAAGAAACCAACAAGAAACCAATGGAGACCCCAGGAACTATCACAAGCACTGAACAGAGGAATCACAAGATCATTCAGCATGAATAATAGATGTTCAAGGTGCAAAGGAGAGGGACATAGGACAGCAGTGCAACAACACATCAAGAATATATTGCTGGATATGCGGACATGATGGAATACGCACGATCCATTGCTGTCGCCGGAACGAAACGGCGGAAAACGCCAGAGGCCCATGGGATCAGAGCGGGAACCCAGGGCAAACACCACACCCGCAACAGCAATAAGCTTCAATGGCCGACGACTACTTGCACAAGTGAATATAGGCAACACAGGAGTTCGCGGGTCCATAGACACGGGAGCCACAAGAAGTTTCATCGCCAGGAAACTAGCCAACAACATAGCCAGGCATGGGATAAGGAAGCAAGTAACCGAAGCCATTAGACTAGCAGATGGGACAAGCAGAACGGCTTCAGAGGCACTGGAAATACCAATACATCTCGGAAACCAAACAAGCATGAAGACGCTGCTAATCCTCGAAGATTTAATCGGCGACTTTCTATTGGGGACAGACTTCTTGGAACAATGTAACGCGACACTACAATGCGGAGGCATCACAGCAAGAATGAACATGAACAAAAGAAACAAAAACAGAATGCCAGAAGAAGAAGCTCACGGAGCCGAGGTCGAAGAAGACATCTGGATTAAACAGAAACTCCTAGACTTGGAAAGAAATCCCGAAACATGGCCAGATTACGCGATAATCAACAGAAAAACAAAACACCGACCCAGCGTCACAAATAATATCGCACTTTCAAAACGCGCACCCAAAACGATAAACCTGGCCACACTAACTCCACCGATACATCGATAGTCGACTACCATCTCTATATTCGTGACCCGATAACGAGTTATCGAGATCGGGATTCTCGACAGCGACCGCTCTGGGCACACTCAACGGGGCCTATATATATGCAGAGGCAAAACCCCAGATGAGTCACTTGCGTTCCGACGATCTTCGAGGAAACTTCAGCAACAAGGTAAGTGTTCTGGTAGATAGTCTTGGTATTAGTAGTGGATCCGTAAGAACTCGTTTTTTAAATCGGTTCTGCGACCTGGTGAGGATCACTGGCGTCCCGGTGTGGTGTCCTAGAAATCAGCCCAGACCCAGTCGTGACCACTGATCGTAATACAGGCCCACCTCAATGAGTTCCCCCAGACGTCACGTTTCCGGCTCCCGACCCGGAAACGAAACGGATGTAGAAACGGCAGTTCGAACCTAACGATGCCCGGCAGACCGAAACTAACGATGCCCTACATTCCCGAATACCACTAGAAATCCAAGTAGATCTCTTCCAACGACCCAGAACACTACGAACCCGACGTACGCACGACGAAGCGACTTCTCGGCCCATCCGCAGCGCCGACACTCGCAGCAAGCAGTTTATCACTCGGCCCTTCCGCAGCGCCGACACTCGCAGCAAGCAGTTCATCACTCGGCCCTTCCGTAGCGCCGACAGTCGCAGCGAGCAGTTCATCACTCGGCCATTCCGCAGCGCCGAAGCTCGCACGCCGGATCATCGACAGGGCAAGCAGGCCTAACGCATCGTCACACAACTACACGATCAACATATATTATACAATTACTTTTAATGTTTATAATTTTTGCACCTTTTATGTTGGCAATTTTAATGCCAGTATTTTATTCCAAGCACAAAAAAAATGCAAACAACACACAAAATTCGATATTTCGTTATTTAATATTTAATTCAAATCGTCAATGAATTAGTGAGTGTATTGGGAATACATATGTTAATTATGATATAAAAAATGGAGATGCAGAAAAATTTCTGGCAGTATAATTAATTGTTTAGTGACATGCAGATGTACGGAAAA